TCATTTGCTCCATTAATAAAAGAAACAAAGCTGAGCTACAAATCTGAGCTACTATTACCTAGATTGAAATTAATGCTGCACTACTGGGGGTGAATTGTTGTTAGTATCCTTACTAAGCTATGGACCTGGCATGAAACAGCACTGAGGCAAGCAAGATGAGCTGATGGGTGAAACAGTGGCAAGTCTATTATGGAGGTAGCCTATCACTGATGCCTGCTTTACGTGAAAAGTTTCACATATGGTACTGAAAACAGATCAGCAGCCTGCAGCTGGGTGGGAGGCACAGGCCTCAGTAAGGAAGCTACTATTGTTGTGTTGCTGAATGGACATGATATGTCTGTCAAATTACATTCCAAATAACGATATTATACATATAAAAGAGTTTTACTGTCAACTTTGGTCCAAGAAGCACCTTTGTATTTTTTTGTCAGCAGTGACTCTTAACAGGTCAAAGTACTGAGAATAAATGACTTTTGAAGCCCACTCATAAACGAGACACCTACATTATGTTCCTCCTCTACCCTACTCCTCTCCAAGGTCAGGGAACATTGCAGAAGAAGTGGAAAGAACAATGAAAATAATCAAAGAAGATGGCAGGAGCAATATAGAACTCTGACACTGGAAGGTTATACATCCACTGTACTCCTGACCTCACAGCAGGAGTGACAACACATACAAGGTCTGCATATGATTGGACCTGCCAATACCCTGTCATGGAATTGGGAAGGGTGGGGCTTCTCACCTTTTTGAGAATGTGTAAGCAGTTAATAACTGGTGAGGGGAAAACCCTTTTCTTCACAAAAGAGTGCTCCTGTGTGCAATCCTAATGAAACTAATTAGACCACCTAAAGCAAAAGATGAAGAAGAAAAAGGCAGGAAAGAAGAGGAGGGGAAAACTGGGAAGAGATAGATGAAGGATTAGTGAGAGAGGAGAGGTTGTGTGTACGAATATATTATTCATTATGAAGTATCATAATGATATCCATTATTGTGCATAGGTAATATACAGTAATAAAAAGTAAAATGCTTCAAAAGCATGATCTCACTTAGTTCTCATGACAGCTTTGTAAGAGAATACTGTCATTAACCCATTTCACAGATGATGAAACACAGGGAAGGTGAAAGACTTGCTCAATATCATGAAACTGGACAGATGAAGAGGCAGGGCACTGGAGCTCATTTTCTCAAATTCTATTTTTCCAATGACTTTAAACTGTCTACTCTGGGGACTTTTCAGATTGATTCAAGGCAATGCATATTAAGAACTTAGGGTCAGTCCTAGGTCATAATATTCAACTGTAAATTTTAGTCATTATTAATAATTGGTAAAAATAGTTACATAGCAGGGTAAAGTTTGATTACATATATTCATATGTTTCAATTTCAAGGTCAAATTGTTGATGATGTCCTTCTTACAATATTCATAATTATTTATTGAGCACCTATGTCATGGCAGGCACTTTTCTCAGACTCATGGACCTCAGACAGCTCTGCCCTCACACACTAGAGTAACTAAAAGCCAGAGGAGTTCAAACTGGCCTGAAAGCCACAGGCCAGTTCAGTCAGAGGTTAGCCATTACACAGAGGTCACAAACACCATTTATCCACCCTAACTATTTGCTGACATGCACAGCAGTGGATCTAAGCAAGTGTATATCAACAAGAGGAGTTGGATGTCACTATTCACCACTGGGAGCCTTTTCATTTTGCCTTTCACTAAGCTAAAGAAAATCTTTTGGCCCAGACACAGAGCAATAAACACCGTATGATCTTAGTTAAATGTAGAATCTGAAAAATGTCAAACCCATAGAAACACAGAGTGGAGTGGCAGTTGCCAAGTGCTGGGTGTAAGAGAAATGAGGTGATATTGTTAGAAGGATATAAACTTCCAGTCATAAAAAAAGCAAGTTCTGGAAACCTGCTGTGTAGTACCTATGAGTGATGATGAATGTGTTAATCAATTTGGTGGTAACCATTGAACAATGAATACATACACCCCAGCGTCATGTTACATACTATTAATACACACAATCCTAGTTTGCCAATTAAATATCCTTAAATAAAAATTACAAGTGAAATATTTTTTACAAATTTGAAAAATGACCATGTACTATTTCCATTGTCATTCAGGCCCTGTGTAGGGAAGCTTCTCTAGAGCTCTGCATTTCTGGGTTTAATTTCGGGCTTTGGAGATCAAAGCACTGGCGTCTCCCCTAAGCAGCACTATTTTCAAGTCTATCTTTCTGCTTAGAATCCTAGCCTGTGATTTAAAAACAACAGCCAAACCAAAAAACTCTCTCTCCAAGATGCCATTATTACAGCTAATCCTTAATCATGTGCTTTCTCCCTTTCGTCCTGCAGCTTCTCTTTTATGTCAGATCGAGTCCAGATGCTAATTCTGTCCTCCGGCAGCTACCTCTCATTCTGCTCTCTTGTTTCTTTGACTATTTCAGCACCATTTAAACTCTCCACAAGGGTCTCCATCACATGAGAGTCTGTTACCAAGAGAGCAAACACACACAATGCTGCTGATTTGCAACAATAGAGTACAATAATCATATGGTTCAGAAAGATAGCTACTTTTTATCTTCTTATTTGCACTAGGTCAGCCCCCTCTACTTTCTTTCTCAATTCAGCATGAGTGGCAAATAGCCTTATGTTTCCTCCCCACCAACTCCTGCTGCAGGAGACATTACTGAAATGTCATCAGTTGCTTCATGTAGCCAAGGTATCATGACACTAAAAGAATTCATAACTTGGAAATTAAGTTGCTAGTGTTATGAGGCACTACCCCAAATATTTTACATCATCTCATGTATTACTTACAGTGGATCCTGGCATCCATGCAGTCATACAGTAAAATAACTGTGATTTAAGCCAAGACCTGCTAGACTCCAAGCATCTCCCAACTTTACACTACAGGTCAGAGTGAAGAATAAGGTAGAGAGAAGGCAGAGAGGAGTGGACAGATCAAAGCAATATATCATAAGCAGAGTATCTTTACTAGTAACTTATTAAACAAATATCCACTAGTGTAAACGTACTTGGTGGGCATAGTGTCAATGCAGAAGACAGATTTCTGCCCTAGAAAAGCAAGTTTGACTAAGGGAACTAGAATCTTTTGGGTTCAACTTCAACTCTTCACTGTAATGATTGTAAATGTGGAAGAATTAGTCAGAGAGAGGGTGTGGCCCTGCAGCATAGGGAAGACTTCTGAAACAGGATGCCTTTTCAGCAAGACTGTATGCAAGATGTGGACATTCTCAAGCTCCCAAGAGTGGAACATCATAATAAGCCATGGTTAAGACAGGATTGTATCATGGAGTTGGGCTAAAGGACAAATGCTCAGGAAACTATATATTTCAGAGGACTGCAGGGTAAATGCAGGCAAAGAGGGTGAGAGGTAAGAGCAGGGAGAGGATGGTTTTGATCATGTGGTATAACCAAACATTAGGAAAGGTTGTAGGAAACAGAAATGAATCCCATTGGGGAGGGGACTGGCAATCACATTAAGGGGGGGTTGTTGGCAATCACATTAAGGGGGCATTGTGGGCAATCGTATTAAGGGGGTTTTGGAGCCGGTGGATCAGGTGACTACTCTGCATAGCATAAAATATGGGGTTACGATCAGCCGCTAAATTCATTCATGTGAATTGTCAGATGGTTTTTGTCATGAATATGGGTGGTGATGACTGGATTTTACTACGATAGTGGAGTATGGTAGTTTTGATAGAAAGCAGGGTGATAGATACAGAGGTAATTATTAGGACTTGATCAGTCTTGAGAGCCAAGGAAACAAAGGCACAACCTGAAAGAACAAGGAGGTTCAGGTGTGAGGGGCCAGGTCTGTCAGAACAGAAAGCAGGTGCTGAAACATACAGAGGCTACATAAAGACCCGTGTGCTGTCCTAACCCAACACTACTGTGGCTAGATACTAGGCACAGGGCTAAAGGATCAGATCTGAAAGCATCCTCACTTCTGTGCTCAAGAGTAATGAAATGATACAGTGAATAAAGGGTGCCCCTGAATTGGTAATCTAACAATGGCTGCAGCATAATCTGAAAGGAAATATTGTGGTGGTCAGACAGAGGTTTATATTTCCAGATTCAGGATCCTTTCTCAGAGTTCCCCGGATGGACAATTAGGTGTTGGGGAGTAAGGCGTACAGTGTCAGAATGCTCTCCTGGACCTGAGTGCTCAAGGACAAACCAAATAACAAGTCTCAATGGTCATATCTGATTGCAATCTTTCCGTGCAGATAAAAAAATGAGATTTCCAGAATTGGAAAGAAGTCTTTGTATCCTAAAATTGTCAAGCCACTCTTATCAATAATATAACTGTAGTGAAGCACAGCCCTGATTCTGTGGAAGGAAACTTCTAGCAGAAACTAGGAGTAAAAGATACTGATGAATTCATAATTGGATTTTGTGGAGCCACCTCCAAATTTTCAGGGCAGATTTTTATTTTTGGTTTGCTGCCTCTCACTTCTCTGTCTCTGTGGACAAGAGTTTCCCATGCCTCAGATAGAAGAATAAGTTGTACTGTGTCCAGGAAGCCATTCCACAGAGCCTTTGGAACTCCTTAGGCCACTGTGAAATTAGTGCGCTTAGAAGCTGGGACCAAACATATTTACATTCAAAACACTTTCTAGCTTAGAACTCTAAGACATACTACAGACAAAATGCACAGCTCAATAAACCCAATGAATCAAAGAGGCTATTGCTAGATTTTTTTCAAGCATTAAAGGGAGAAGTCACAGCCCATGTGTGACAGGATTCCTCACTTCAAAGGCATAAATTACACCTTGCTGTCAAATTTGAATTCATCTGCCAGCTTTTCATGAGTATCTGGAGCCAAAAACTTGATGATAATGGTAACTATTGCTAAAATAATATTTTATAGGTCAATTTCTAGGACTTTCCACTACTTTGTGTTTCTTTATAAGATAATCTAAAATATAATGAATTAATAAATAGAAAATATGGAATTTTGGTCTTACCATTTTTGTCTGCTCTCCTCAGTATCTGGAAAGAAAAGAAGAAAAATAATAATTTTTTTTTTTGCTGTGCTGGAGTGTAGCTCAGTGCTAAAGACTTGCCTAGCATATGTTAGGCCCTAGGTTCAATCCCCAGGATTGGCAGTGGGGAAAAAGGACATCTTTTTACCCTAAATATTGAAATGAATGTTATATTTACATACATAATTAGTCTATTATTAAACAAATGAAACCCCAATGGTAAATGAATGTTTTCCAACTGAGAACTTCTTTTTAAAATATCCCCTACCTGGAAACAGCCTAAATGTCTATCAATAGGTAAACTGGTGAACCAAGTGTGTCCTTAGTACAATAAAGAACTAGTGGGCAATTTAAAAATAATCAGCTATCAAATAGATTTTGCCTGTCAAAATTTGGATGTATCTAAAAACAATCAGGCTGAATAGAAAACCTAGGTATAAAATACAAAAATACCTAGGTATAAGTGTGGGTGTATACAGTTTTTAGAAGCATAATAACATTTAGTGACAGAAAGTAGATCAAATCTGTCAAGGCTGAGAGCTATGGATTATAAAAGTGTATAAGAAAACTGTTGAGGACAATATAAATATCAAATTATCTCAATTGTAATTGTTTCACTGTAGAGGGCACAAGTACTCACAGATTAACACTAGAGGAACAAGGAGTGTTAATCACAAAAAAGTTGTCACCTCAGTGGAGGAGATGTATAGCTCTTTTCTTACCAGAAGGCTGGGAGTGGGTGTTAGCAAACTGGTGACCTCTGCTATCTGTAGAGCCAGACCTCACCCAAATCCCCAGAATGTTTATCCCAGACTCTCCCTCCTAGACCTTTTCTTTAATGCTCAGTCAATAGAATTGACCTTTGGGGAGGTGTCACTTGTACTTTACAGTCAGCTCAACTCCATGCTATCTCTGTCAGACACCACACCAGAGCCTCAGCCCTTAAGTTATAGAAACCATCTTTGTGGTAGCGGTCATGGGTACTTTGCAAAAGAGTTTTGTTGTAGTCACACCTTAAGGTTTATTATGTACATGGGATTGGGATAACTGTTACCACGGAAATTGCACTGTACTTAAATATGTCCAAAATAAGCTGGCCTGATGTTAAACCACCTTGGCTAACTAAGCCATGCTGAACTGAGTTTCTGCTGCCAGGCATGATCCTTGCAGGGACCCCCACACTTCATATGTTAAAATCCAACACATTTATATCTTAAATGTATGCACTTTAATGTAAGAATTGTCATCTCAATAAAATAGGAAATAAAAACAGAAAAGAAAAACAGTAAGTGATTGGCAAATAGGAGCCCACATATCTATACTATGTCTTACTTGGATATAATAATGTTATCTTGGACCCTCTTTAAGGTGTTTCGATGTACAGTGATTATTTGGCTAACTGGTATCCATTATTCAGTGTTAATGATTTCCAATTATTTCCTGGGAAACTAGTCTTTACTCTTGGTTTCTATGCTTAAGGGTCAGGTGAAGCATGAGGCCTGACAGAGTATTACATCTCTCTGCCATTGCCATTGATAGGTCGGGAGCACCTTAATGCTAATGAATAACAGTCCATGCTTGAGCTGTTAGAAGAAAGATACTCAATGCTTGCTTCTGGATTTGAACCTGGAATGATATAAGCAAGGTGCTGCCCTTGGACATTGTGTTATCATATATGTTATGGGTTGAACTGGTTTGTTTTGTTTTGTTTTTTGTTTTTGTGTTTTGTCCCCCTGAAAACAGGTGTTGAAATTCTAGTATTTTAGTACCTGTTGATGTGACCTTATTTGGAATTGGGTCCTTCATGAGGCATGGGCCCTGATGTAAGACCTTATGAAGAGACAGAGATTCAGAGATACAGACATGGAAGAAGGCTCATGACAGAGCAAGGTGCTGGAATTCTAGAATGATGGGGGCCAATGGCTGCCATCAAAAGTTAGAATAGTGGCACAAAGCAGCACCACTCTGTAGTCTCCAGAGAAAACATTTCCTACCAACACATTCACTATGCCCTTCTCGCCTCACAACTCTGAATTCTCATGAATTCCTACATGCAAGCTACCTCATCTGTAGTATTTGCTATGGCCCTTTTCTGCAATTAATATAATTTATAACTTGAAACAAATCAACACTTCTGAAAGCTGTATAGAGGGTCAGAAAAACCAGTGGCACTCTCTGAGCCCCTGGCTAGTCCCCAAGGAGACAACCCCAGCTTTTTGTTACAAGGGCCAATACACTGTTATACAGTCAAACCTTAAACAGCTTTTGGATGTTTCCTTCTATTTGGAGCACTTAAATTAACTCATGTGATGTAGGTACCCACAGAAAAGCAACTGGATGACATAATGCATCTCACACACACCTACAGAGAAAGACCATCTACTATTGAGATGCAAACTTAACTATAAGGAAAGAGCCTTGAGGATCTTGTTTTCCCTGAGTAAGCTTCCATTATAGTTAAACAACCAGAATTATCCTTGCTTTTAGATTGGCACTTCTGGTGAACAGTTTAAAACACAGCTTTCTTTCTACTACTATTTTATTAGTACTTTTAAATTTTTCATCATTCTATCATAGGAAAAGAATCCTCCATTCTTCTGACTTCACGGGAGTGAAATATAGATAAATCTAATCTTCACTAAGACGTTTTCTATTACAAAATACCAATATTATTTCTAACGAATCTGGTCCATGGAACTTTCCCAGCAATAGATGGGTGCCACTTTGTCAGATGTAAACTGCGCCTCCATTTCATTGAATAAACTGAATTACTTCAAGAGGATTTCATAGAAAGAACTATGTTTATAGGAGACTGACACACACTCTTTTTACTGCTTGGAGTAGTTGCTCGTGGAGATGTCAATGATCAGTTCTTGCAGCAGACAGCTGTTTCCTGTCTTCCAAACTTGAAAAGCTACAGACAAGTCAGGGAAGCAGGAAGCACATCTCTTATCTTTGATTGACCCTAAGGTTTGACTTTTGAATCCTATTGTGCCCTCAGGAGTGTGAAATGACTAGAACAGAAACAACCACACATCAAGGAGTTGGACCCAGGACTTCCATTATTTCATTGCATAGATAACAACCAGAGGTAGCATCCAGACTCTCAGAGATGAAATTAAGACAGTAGCTCATGTTATTAAACTCTTGTAATTAAGTATGGATAGAACTGCTTCTCCCGCAAATTTTGCCTCAGAGCTCACAAAGTAATAAGAAAAAAATGCACTGTAGATGAGAATGGAGTTCAGTATGCAGTGTTACCACAGTCAGCTAATCTTAATAGCTGCTCTCACTGGAGGCATAGTAAATAAATTTAAATATGTTCAGGCAGGAAATGTGAATCCAAGTGATACTGCACTTTGCTATAACTTAAGGATTATTATACAGATTCCTTTTTTTTTTAACCTCCAAAGGTAGTCTTCGATGCCCATAAGTAAAATTCCTTATTTCTCACTTTAAGTTATTGAGGAGAGACTTTAGACATAAATGTTATCTCGAAAGCACAAAAAAAGTCACCATTCAATGAATTGACAAGTGACTCAGATCGGGATGCAGGTTAAGATTCAAGGATTCAAGATACGATGAGGTCTCAGTCAATTGACAGGATCCAGGAAACTGGAATGTTCAGTAGGAAACGGGAGCTCATACAAAGCATCAATAGGATGTATGGAAATAAAGAGTTAGGGGATGAGTGACAATGCACAGACCTGGGCGCACAGTAGAGCATTTGATACCACACCACTGGTTGCCCTCAGGTTGCAGGGAAGTTGGCCCTGGGAAACACAGGACTAAAATGTAGTTAGTACATTCTATTCCATTCTTCTCAGTTTTGCCCAGGGTAAATCCTATGTGGAAAAGCATGGAAAAGGCCATGCTTATCTAGCTATCACTTGGCATTTTCCAAAATGGGAAATCTCATTCAAGTAATCCAGTGTGCATGTGTGACTGGGCAAGGCAGGAGACATGTGGCTACAGTAGAATTCAGTCACAGGATCATGGTCTCAGAAAAGCCTGTGTGCTCTGACAATGCATCCATGATATCTCTTACACAAACAAGTATGTGCCAAGCCTCAGAATCAAACACTGTTTAGAAGGAGAAGCTATTACTCTTTTTTTTTTATCAACTTCTGTCAGGCCACGAGCCTTGCATGGTTTATACACTGAACTTCCAGATCCAATCCCACTTCACCAGAAAAATGGAGAAGGCCTTCTTACTTCTCAATTAAAAGTCATGAAAGATGGAGGGTGGCTCAGAGGTGCAACACTGCCTAGCATGCACAAGGCTCTGGGCCAGGTGTCCAGCACTGGAAAGAAGAGTCAAAGGGAATCTATTTGAAGACAGTGCCACTGGAAGAGTGGAGATGCAACTCATTCCTTTTGGAATTTCTCTTGTGTCAGGAGCAGAAGATTCTCCCCGCTGCACAGTGACAGTGTAATCAAGAGCACCAATTGCTCCAGGGGCTCACATTTTAAATGTGGCTTTACTCTCCATTATCTGGAATAAGGGGACTTGGGGAGGTATAGTACAGTAGTCAAAAAGAAAAGTAACTGTCAGCCTTCTGATCCTTCTCTGTTGCTGTACACTGGAGTCAGTTCTGGTCCTGTCCCATGCCTGTCAGATGTGCACGGTGTAAATATGCCCAGCAGTACCGTGCCGGTGTGTTTGGGTACTAGCACACCACAGAGGTCTTAGAAGTCTCACCCTCACTAGGTATTCAGAAGTAGTTTAAAATGATATGAAATTCTGCCACTTTGGAGAAAACAATACAGATTATATTTATGCAGTTCCTTATTAGTTTGCAAATTTAGCTACAGCTGTTTATGAATTTAACATGAAACACTAACATATCATAGTACTTCAAATGTATATGGCAGGTGTCCTTTTTCCCTTTGCTTTCAAGACCAAGATCCCATAATGACAACAACCTTAGATGCTAAGTATAAGACTCATGGCTACTGCTGAGTATAAGATTTGAAAAATGAAATGAAAGACAATGACTTAAGAAATCTGATTTTCATGTTTATGCCAACCATTTATCTGTAGTTTCTAAGCAGCTTGCCAAGTGTAATCGTATCATCAACAATACCTCAGATGATGTTTAAGTAATTTCTCTAATAAGTCTGAAGATTGACTGTCAATGATACTTGAATATAAATTCTAGGATTCAGTTCCCCTCAAATTTGGAAATTAGTCTGTGAGGTGCGGAAGTCCTCCAGTGGCGTCATATCTTTCTCTTCTAGCACAGATAGTGTCTACCACCTTTTCTTTGTGATCTCAGTAGAATTCAGACAGCAATCATTCTTAGCAATGCTACTAGAATATACTAAACCTAATCAAATCAAGTGATGTATTTATGTCTCACATTTTGTTTTTGCTAAAAGCAACATGATCCAGAAATGAATAATTCAGAGATCCCTAAATAACCAATCCTTTTTCATGTCACACAATTCACCAGAGTGTTAGATTTCTTCACAAAATAACTCAGAAATGTGTAAACAACATATTTTTCTCTCCAAGAAAAAAATCCAACTGCAGTTAATCTTTTTTTGTTTTTTTTTTTGGGGGGGGAGGAACTACATTTCACTGAAAAACAAGCATGTCCATGCCTCTCCTATGGAATCAAGTGAGCTTTTTTTTTCAGTTCTGGAAATAGACTTAAGAAGGCCAGGGAGCTCTGTCCAAAGATGAAAGTTCCTTCAGGACAGGGCCCTTACCCTGTTTATTAGAAAACTGGAGTTAAAGACTTGAGCTGAAAATGGTGATTCTGTCAGGGTAGCTGACTCCCCTCTTACACAGTTTCAATTCATTCCTCACCAGAGTGTCACCAGGATTTGTTAGATACCTAAGATAAAAAAAAAATCACGAAGCAGCACTCAGTGTTGGTGGAGGACAGAGCAGAAATCAGGCCCAAATGGGTGGGTCCCACTTGAGCTCAGAATTCACTTCTTGTCTGATTAGTTTTCCTCCTCATAACACTCTGACTTCCTCCTGATCCTAGAGATTGCCTTCCCATGTCTTGTTTTTACATTCATCCAGCTTAGTTCCTCAAGGGCTAGGTCCTGAATGGCAGGGCATGAAGAAATAATACTAGCTAATTCAAGCATTGACTCAACCTATGTGAAGTTCTTTCTTGTTTTTTCAAGAAAAATAAACTGTAACAATTTGGTGCCATAAAGAGTGGAAACCAGATATTTGTATTTTCGAGGGAAGAAAATGGCTGATCCCCAAAGCCCAAATCTTGTGTTGGAACTGCATGGTGATGAAGGGAGAAGGCTGCCAGGAGCTGGGATTGAACCTTCGGTTAAGTGTCTTACACTAGTTTTAATTATCGTTACGTATTTCTCTACCAATAAAAAAAAAAATCTAGGTTATTCAAGACAAAGTGAGGACTCCTTGCCCCTCTCTGTCCCCACCCATTATCTTCAAAATCTCTGACTGGCCCTTATGATGCTAGTATTTGATTCCTCATATTTTCATTTTGCACTATCAAGTGTTTTTGGTCTCTCGCCCATGGCTTGGAGAGGGCAAGGGCAGGGTCAAATAGAGCTCTGTCGTGTACTTTGTCCATTATCCCACATGCTAAATAAGCAGCCGCTAGACTGCCCCCACTGAGCCAGACACTACCTGCAGGAACAGAGTGAATTTGACAAGTGAGCAGCAGAGGGGAGAGCCAAAGCCCAGAAGGCATGCAACCCAGGGACAGGAAAGCCAGGGAACCTAACAAGGCAGCAGGGTGAAAAACAGAAATGAAACAGGAAAAAGCAAAGCAGAATCGAGGAGCAAATAAGACCTAAAACTGCTATATAGAGAGAAATCACAGCACAGGGGGCAGAAAAATAGCACAGAAAGAGAGAAATGGTCATGTTAGAGATGCGGAGGAAGGAAGAAAATTCCCAAGCAAGGAATGGGACAAAGGGGGAAACAGTCAAACACTGAAAGAGAAGGCAATGACAGCAATTACAATTTAGGCTCAGGGGACAAGAATAATAGGGAAGGGAGGGGGGCACTAAAAGGAAAAGAATCATCAGCATAAAAGAGACCGTGGCTACCGTGGAAAAGCAAACATGTGCAAAGAAATTGTTTTGGAGCAGCTGGGAGAGGCTGGAGGGGCATCACAATTTCTAAGGCTTCCATCAGCACAAGTGGGGGTGCCTATCAGCAAACCCGGCAGCCGGGAATCAAGTCCTATACTGACCAATGGAGACTCCTGTTTCCACTCTATCCCTGCAGAAGCCCAGGCTGATGGAGATTTGAACTTTTTGGTCTCCTTAACGCTTGCAATCAAAGCTGCAAGTCTGGGACAGCTCTTTTTACAAGTTGGGTGGCAGTCCTTCCTCTGACATTCGTCTAGAGTCGGCTCAGGGGACAACAGACAGGAGATAGCTTGCTTGGAGGTCTAAGAGCACAACACCAGCAGCCAGAGGCTGCGCCCGACCCCGCCTCTCTCACAAGGCTGATACCTAAGGCGCCCACCTAACTCAGTCGTCTACACTTACGTCGAGGAAGATGGACATGCCCTTGGACAGCTGCAGGGCAGAGCTGAGCTCTTCGGAGGAGTTGTTGGAGGACGGAGACGTCTCCCGGGAATCCTCCATCCTCTGGAGCCCCTAAACCGACGGACGGAGATGGACTGGGCGGGATGCAGCGGCTCCGACCTGGCGCTGTCTCAGCAGCTGCCTCCTGGCGCTCCGATGCGAGTGGGTGTTCGCTCGGCGCGCGCCTCCCTCCACTCAGCGCGGACTCTCCTCCCTCTCCCGCCCTTGGGCTTCAGCACACTGGCTCTCGCCGCCCCCTTCCCATGAGCTGACTGCGCCTCACTGGGGATCAGACTCCTTCCTGCACTTAGCAACAACGTAGCTCCCCTTGCCTGTGAGCATTTCCCGGCTCTGGCACGCCCTTAGCTTCAAGCCAGAGGTAACCCTCTCGGACCCTGCCCACCACAAGACACTTTACAGAACAGACAAGACAGACAAGGCTTTGTCCTGAACAGGCAAGGGAAGCTGTCAGAAGCTGGGGTGACCAGGGTGGGTGGGGAGGAGTAGAAAGAAGGAATCTAAGTGGTGGAAGCTGGACTCTGTTTGAACACTCCCACCCCATCCCCCATCTCCCATCCCGCACCCCATTTCCTGGATTCCTCTCAGGAAGGGATGAATAGTTCAGTTCCGAATTAAGGTACTGGGTTTGGAGGTCTGCCCCAACCTGCCTTAGTTTAGCGAACGGCTAAACCTCTAAACTTCAGTTTTACTGATCGGTAAAATAATTATCGTGGTGGTACCTAGCTCATAGTTCTGATGCGTACCCTTAGTGGCATTATCAGGTGTAGGGTGAGGCAAGCCAGGCACATCACCGACAAAATATAGAGATGAAGCCCCTCTCCGGCCCTGCTCTGTATTTAGTGTTTACAAAGAATGAGTTTAGCTGGTCTCAACTCTGGCTGCATGTTGGAATCACTCTGAGTATGTGTGAACTTCAAAATGTCACCACAGATGTATTGTCATTTTTCTTTTGGGTTCTCTTCATTCCTGGACCTCAAAGATTCTGCTTCTGAGGCAGGGTGCAGAAACGGTACAGCTGCACCTTTCCAATGGAGTATTTATTTGTTCCAGGAGTTAGAACATCTACAGAGGAAACTTGGTCATTTTGAGGTGCCATGCTCTAGGAAAGCCCAAGCTGTCTGGAAAGGAATGTGTACCTAAGTGTCTGAATGAGAGATCCAACTGAGCAGGGCCTCGGCATCACCCCAGCCTAATTATTAATATCAGAATGATCAGTAAGGACACCTCCAGATTACCCCAGTTCCAGCTCCATGAGACACACCTAGTAATCCCATCCCAAATCCCAGCCATCGAAGATATACAGATGAATTTCAAGATGGTAAGTGCTGTTCCCCACAGAAATTGGAAGCACAAGGAACTGTTCATTGCATTTTACAATTAACTTTTGGGTATCAGCCTGAGGTAGGTAGCAAATAAAAAAAGTACCCATTCCACAAAATCAAAACATAAATTAAGGCCTGTGCTTCACATTTAGATTCAAGTTCCTCTAGCATGTGGTTCTCTCTCTCTCTCTCTCTCTCTCTCTCTCTCTCTCTCTCTCGAGAAGTATATATATATATACTTCTCCAGTAATCCTGATGAGCCCCAGATTAATAATCCCCTAAAGAGGAAGAGCTGCCAAAATGAGGCAGACACTAGTGAACTCAGAACTGTGAGGTTCAGGAATACATCACTGGGCTTCATTAAGTCTAGGGTCAGAAACATGAGACGTTATTAGGGGAGATATTGATTGGAGCTGTGCTTTGAGGACTGCTAATCTTGCATCTTTCTGTATTTATGCCTTATTAACTGCAAATTTCCTCAGCTGAACAACTGGAATAGATTCTTTCCTTTGATAATTGCATATCAAAAAGAAACTGAAAATCATTAAAAGGTCTAGCCAACCCTTCAAAAACAAACAAACAAAAAAATCCTGTTCATTCACACCACACAGAAGCAAGTGGGATACTGATGATGAATGTTATTGAGTTTACAAAACATCATATTTGTTGCTTACTTTTTGGTCAATAAATGAAGCCTAAGACCAGGCTCTCTAAGTTGCATGGGTTTCTCTGCCCTCAAATGCGGTCTTGTGAGTGTGATAATATGCATATGCTAATTCCATGGTAACAAGCATGGGTGATAAAGAAAATTTCTTTGATTATTACTGAAAAACAGGAAAGTAATCCGTCACCATTGTCCAAAACTAGAGTGCTAGCTGTAACACTTCTGTACATCCCTGTTCCCTTTACTTACAAGGCATGACATTTTATTTACCTGAAGCTCTCTTTATTTCTCTTAAGGGTCTATCAAGAAGGAACATAGGCAGGCTGGAGAGATGACTTAGTGGCTAAGAGCCCTTAACTGCTCTTGAGAGGACCTGGGTTCAGATCCAAGCACCCAAAAGATGACTCAAAATTGTCCATAACTCCAGTTACCCACATGATGTACATGCGTACATTCAGACAGAACACTCATACACATAAAATAAAATCAAAAGCATAGGAAACATAGGGCTAGGGTGGTGGCTCATCCAGTAAAGGGACTTTCCATGAAATCCTGACTGACTTTAACCCCATAATTCATGTAGAGTGGAGGAAAGAATAGATTTCACAATTGTCCTCTGACCTCTACAGGGAGTTCACAGCACATGTGCCTGAACATAAACAACACACAAACATACACATACACACACACACACACACACACACACACACACACACACACACACGTACACACATGCACACACACATTTGATTTTAAAAGAAGACATGTAAATTATTAAACAAGCTGTTGGTCGTTATTTCTTTTAATGCTTTCTACATGAATTATATTATGCTGCAGCTGACTTATTTTTATGATGGGTGTGATGTTCATGGAATGTTCCACTAGGAATGGATGACAATTAGACTCTCATTCACAGCCAAATTCAATAGGCTGTACAGAGTGGTAACCAAACATATTTTTAGTTTTCTTTTTATCTAGACAGCGAGCATTTTGAAAACTGTTTTCACACATCGTTCTCCTGAAACACAGATGCTATACTGCTGTGCATAGTATCAGTTGCAAACAGCAGACAGCTGACTGGAGGGAGGAAATGTATCTTCTTTCCAAGTTATCTGTAGTGAAGGCCTCAGAAGAAAGAACACAAAGGAGGAAGAAATGCAGTTTTAGATTATAGCTCTCAGACTTGCTATAAGACTGACACGAAGATATTTGGAGCATTTCAGCAGATGATGGCCATGTACAAGCATATTGAATTTCAATCCATCTCTGCCTCATGGAGGAACTATTATCTAAACCATTTTAGAATGCCAGGATCTATTTTATTTATACGTTAAATCTAGGGAGTGCTATCCTTTAGAGCAATGACTCAGGATCCTTCTAGTCTGGGTAATGGACATTCTGTTGCTTTGGCAACCTCAGATCCAAACCCACTTTTTATCTGGGGACCTAAATTCAGGGTGTGTATTCTGAAAACAGGCAGGGCTCACATCTTCTGTACAATAGAAGATGATTCCACTGACTGAATCTAGAGCAAAGATTGAAATGTAGGTTCAGAACATAGGGCGCTTAAATCCTTATATCATGTAGGAAAATACATTTATTGATTACAGTGATTACACAGAAGTAAGTGTGTAGGGTCCACAGTGCTGGAAGAGCCCTGCAGACGACTAAATCAGTTTAAAGAAGGAATTTTGTGAATAAGATTTCCCCTGATTTCTTTCCTGGCAATTGAATTACTGGTATTTAGAAAACCCACAGATTTTACTGTGCTGATTTAGTATCCTGCTACTTAAGTTATTTATAAGACCTAAGAGTTTCTGGGAAAAGAATCAGGATCTTATGAATATATGATCATGCCATCTACAAATAGGGATAACTTGACTTCTCTTCCTTTTTGTATTCTTATCATTTCTTTATCTTGTGTTATTTCTCTATCTAAGACTTCAAACACTGTATTGAATAAGAGTAGAGAGAATGGGCACTCTATCTTGTTCCTAATATTAGCTATTATTAGGGGAAATGTTCTCAATGTTTTAGACAATTTGAATAATATGGTCTATAGCTTCTCATATACAATCTTTCTTGTGCTGAAATACATACCTAGTTTCTTCAGAGCTTTTAACATGGAGGGTTTCTTAACTCTGATGAAGACCTTTCCTTGACATGACCATCTCAGGCCTGTCCCTGAGTCCATGTATATGCTATATTTACTGACTTGAGCATGTTGTACAGTCTTAGTTTCATTCAGTTTGAAACAACTTAATTGAGAAATTTTGCATCCATGTTGACCATGGAAATTGGTCTACAGTTTTCTTTCCTTGTTGTTTGATATCAAGGTAATACTGGCCTAATAGAGTGTATTTGATAGTGTTCCTTCCTTTTTAATTTGTGCAACAGTTTGAGGAACATTGATGTTAACCTCGGTGAGTTTCTTAGTTAAAGTGTTTATTGCTGTGAGGAGACACCATGACCAAGGCAACTTCTATAAAGGAAACATTTAATTGAGGTGGCTAGCTTACAATTTCAGAGGTTCAGTCCATTATCATCATGACAAGGAGCATGGCAGCATTCAGGCAGATGTGGTGCTAGAGCTGAGAGTTCTACATTTTGGCTTGCAAGCAACAGGAAGTCTACTGACATCCTGGGCAATATCCTGAGCATATGAAACCTCAAAGCCTACCCCCATAGTGACACACTTAGACAAGACCAGACCTCCTAATAGTGCCACTCCATTTGGGGTCCATTTTCTTTTTAACCACCACAGTGTTGAATTGAACAGTGACTCTAACTGGTCCTCTGCTTTACTTTATTGGGAGGTTGGATTTTGTTTTGTTTTGTTTTGTTTTTATTTTCCATTGCTTTAACCTTGCTGATTGTTATAGGCCTGTTTAAGTTATTTCATCTCCTCTTAATTTAATTTTGGTGAGTCCTGCATTTAGGAATTTATTCAATTAAAAATATTTCTGTATTTTTGGAATATGTGTTTTAAAAGTATTTCCTGATGATCCTTTGTATTTCAATTGAATCTTCTTCCTTGCATACACCCCTTAGCT